CTCATTAAATGCCAAGAGATGAGCCGTATGTGTACCTACCGTAGGAGTCCCCTATGTACATACCCAGCGTGCGACAGAGCCGCAGGAGTTGTGACCCTTTTTTGGGAGGGAGGGTGCTACTGTAAGACACATGGAGACAAAGTCCCCAGCAAACCAGGAACATTCCTAGAACGTTCGCTACGATTCAGTTGTAGTTAGGGTTCTATCCAACATTTAGGATGAGAACATCCCTAAAACATTCAGAGAATGTTTTTGATCAAATCTGTTTATGAAAAAAAAAACGTTTTGATGAAATATCCTTGGAATGATTTCCTAACATTCAGTAAGTGTTGTGCACAACATCTGTGACAACCACCACAGAACATTCCCCAAAAGTGTGTATGTTTGTATAAAACATTCAACTGATGTTGCAAGAATGTTCCTATAACACCCTCAAACTCAACTCTGGACCTCGAAAACCAGTTCCACTGCATTTTTTCATTGTTCCCCTCTAATCAGGGACTGATTTTAGACCTGGGACACCAGGTGGGTGCAATTAATTATCAGGTAGAACAGAAACCCAGCAGGCTCCAGACCTCGTAGGGTCAGAGTTGAGTACCTCTGCTATAACACATTTAATCTGTTCCCACAACCTAATTAAATGTTCTTTAAAGAACTCAGAAAGGCTGTTCTGTCAATATTCTTGCAACACCGGACTGTTCCCACAACCTAATAAAACATTCTGGGAACCTTTTTAAAGAACAGATTTAAATGTGTTCTGGGAACGTTCTTGCAACACCAGGCAAATGTTTTATAGAAACATTCTATAATCATCACCACGACTGGACAGTTGTTGTTGTTGTTGTTGTGAGAACATTTACCACGACCTAACGAATGTTCTGGGAACCTTCACAGGACCAATTATGATTTGCTGGGTAGGGAGTGCTCTATGCTGGTCTGCAGGCCTCTTTTTAAAAGCATCTGTCAGTTTTTAAAGAAAGAGCAGAGACTCCTCAAGCAGCAGCCGCTATGCTATTGCCTGCGTGCATGTCTCAAAGTCTCCTAAGGAGATCGACATGAGAGAGAGAGAGGGGGGACAAAGGATTGTCTTGAATAGGATTTGACTGGCTGTGCTATACAGTAGGTGTGACTTTAGAGACACCGCTAACCACAAACGACAGCTACGTTATCTACAGCTTGCCCAACAGAGAGCGAGAGTGAAAGAGAGCGAGAGATCGAAAGAGAGAGATCGAAAGAGAGACATCGAAAGAGAGAGAGAGAGAGAGAGAGAGCGGTCTGCGCTTGGTAGGTCTGAGTCCCAAATGGCTCCCTATTCCCTATATAGAGCCCTATGGGCCCTGGTCAAAAGTAGTGCACTATATAGGGAGTATGTGCCATTTGGGACTGGAACTGGGTCTCTTTTTCATGGTGTGTTATCAGCTGCCTCAGCCTTCCTGTCTCATCCTCGCTGTATTTCTCCTGTACTCCCTTAGTACTTTTACTCTGCCACAGATCAGTTAAAGTACACTACAATGCTAGATTCTACTACTAGTGGCCGTTCCTGCTAGATTCTACTACACTACAATGGCTGTTCCTTTAGTAGGGCCTAGTGCTGAGCGATTTAACTGAAATGTTGGTTATTTTTCAGATTTTAAACAACTAATTGACAGTTTTTCTGTGAGCTTAATAGATGCACACGGCGAGGCGTGGCTTAACGTGACCACGCCCCCGAGTAGGGTACAGCCTTAGGGCACTCCCGTTACTCCCATGTAGCCTAACTTTGGCGTCATCCTAAGCAAGACACTTTTTTTTGTCATTTCAATAAATGTTTGCAGCAGCGTCACTTGTCTTTATTAACATACTTGGCTGTCACAACTACAAATTATTTGCATGATACTTATTCTGCCACTCTAATTTGTTACCCTTCCTGCTAACTTGGGCTCCCGAGTGGCGCAGCGGTCTAAGGCACTGCATCTCAGTGCTTGAGGCGTCACTATAGACCCCCCTGGTTCGATTCCAGGCTGTATCACAACCGGCCCGTGATTGGGAGTCCCATAGGGCGGCGCACAATTGGCCCAGCGTCGTCCAGGTTTGGCCGGGTAGGCCGTCATTGTAAATAAGAATTTGTTCTTAACTGACTTGCCTAGTTAAATAAAGGTTAAAATATATATATATATATATATATATATATATATATATATATATATATATATATATATATATATATAAATAACACAAAGTAAAGCTATCACATAATACTTACGTCACTGTTTGTTTACCCCTAGTTTTTTCGCCGGTTAGCTGGCTGGCTAGCGATAGAAGTTAATCTCGATCTAAATACAGTGCCTTCGGAAAGTATTCAGACCCCTCGACTTTTTCCACATTTTGTTACGTTACAGCCTTATTCTAGAATGGATTAAATAAAATAAAAATCCTCATCTATCTACACACAATACCCAATAATGACAAAGCGAAAACAAGTTGTTAGATATTTTTGCTTATGTATTACAAATAAAAAACAGAAATACCTTATTGACATAAGTATTCAGACCCTTTGCTATGAGACTCAAAATTCAGTTCAGGTGCATCCTGTTTCCATTGATCATCCTTGAGATGTTTCTACAACTTGATTGGAGTCTACCTGTGGTAAATTCTATTGATTGGACATGATTTGGAAAGGCACACACCTGTCTATATAAGGTCCCACAGCATGTCAGAGCAAAAACCAAGCCATGAGGTCGAAGGAATTGTCCATAGAGCTCCGAGACAGGATTGTGTCAAGGCACAGATCTGGGGAAGGGTACCAAAAAGTTTCTGCAGCATTGAAGGTCCCCAAGAACACAGTGGCCTCCATCATTATTAAATGTAAGAAGTTTGGAACCACCAAGACTCTTCCTAGAGCTGGCCACCCGGCCAAACTGAGCAATCGGGGGAGAAGGGCCTTGGTCAGGGAGGTGACCAAGAACCTGATGGTCACTCTGACAGAGCTCTAGAGTTCCTCTGTGGAGATGTGAGAACCTTCCAGAAGGACAACCGTCTCTGCAGCACTCCAACAATCAGGCAAATTACGTTTAATCAACTGGCCAACTTTATCCTATCCCAGGTATTCCTTAAAGAGGTGGGGTTTCAAATGTCTCCGGAAGGTGGTGAGTGAATCCGCTGTCCTGGCGTCGTGAGGGAGCTTGTTCCACCATTGGAACAATGGTGGAAGTATCCAGAGCTAACAGCCTTTCATCATCATCTGAAAACCATGAGGTTCGTCTAACCTAGTCCTTGGCCAGTTGATTAAACGTCATTTGCCTTTCAGCATCTTTAATAGCAGGGTTAGTTATCTAGTTGAAGAAAGTCTGTCGGAATTGGCTCTTTGGCTGATAATCGTGGCGTACATTCCATGCGACAGTCTTATCTGTTAATGCAAACCTATTTACGTTTAGCATGAAAGTGTTTTTAGGTATGATGAAGTTTGTTGATTTAAGACGACAAGGAAGTATGTTTAAAAATGGCCACCCTGAAGAAGGCACAGTGACGCCGAAACGTTGGTGTTTTACATAGAATTTATGTGCGACTCTCTTTTTTATTGATTTTTATAGTTTACAGTTTATTCGTCATTAGTCAGCACCTCTACACTAAATAATTTTCTCTGGGTGCTTTTTTTATAAAAAATGGCCAACCAAGCATATCCTAAATCTTTTTATAGAATGAAAATAAAAAATAATACAGCCGTTTGTCGGGTTATGCGTAAAGTAGGCAATTTTAACATGGGCGTAACGGGAGTACCCTATGGCTGTTCCGTACTCGGGGGCGTGGTCACGTTAAGCCATGCCATGCCGTGTGTATCTATAAATATGCACATTGCGCAGCAGTTTCGCTAGAGATAAATCAGATCATGCCCGTACTGTGCGACGTTGCAGGGAGTTTTCCAACAGGTCAATCTTCTACATAGTTTACCGCAGAAAACGTGATAATTTAACTACAATGACCATAATCCATTGTGCGACTAGTTGTACGGTCTGTGTTTATTTTATGCTACTTAAAGAGACAAAAGAAAACACGATCAAGAGGGAGCAGTTACTTCTCTAGGTGTGTTTTGTATTCAGCAGTCATAATAGTATGCCTTATTTACTTTGGAAGAACTACTAAAATAGTGATTTTTGTCAGACAATATAGGCAGCAGCTCTGTAGAGATGAGATTAAACTTGGAATGAAATAATAAAGTCATCAAATGAAACGAATGTGATGTACACAACAACTGACATATTTTAATTAACTGATGGTTAATAAGTAATGTCACTATCGTCATGGGACTTCACTTTAATTGTTTTATTCTGTGTTGTTACAGCATTCAACTCGCATAATGAGGTCGTGATTTTATTTTATTTAATAATTCAACCGAAGCCAAAATCGACCTCAAAAAGCCGTAATCGCTCAGCACTAGTAGGGCCTATTGCTTGACCAGAGATGATACTACAACTGTCATGAATAATGAATGAATGATCTGCCTAGTCTAGGAAGAGCTCCACTTCGAAGTGCTTCCCCCATCCAAAGACATGGTTCAGGCTGTCATAACTCCAGACTTCATTTAATGACCATAAACTCTCTCCTGTGTCTGGAACTATCCATCTGACTCTCTCCTCTCCAATTACTGACTGTTAAATGCTATGGGACTGATGGGGTCCTGAAGCTCTGAAGTAATTCTCATCTCTCTCTCTGTCTCTCTCTCTGTCTCTGTCTCTGTCTCTGTCTCTCGGCTCTATTGGTCTCGGCGCTCTCCTCTCTCTCTCGCTCGCGCTTGTTCTCTCTCCTTCCTCTCTCTATAGCATCTATCCTCCTTCCTCTCTCTAGCTCTCTCTCCTCCTCTCTCTCTCGCTCTCTCTCCTTCCTCTCTCCTTCCGCTTCTCCTCTCTCTTCTCTCTCCCTCTCTCTCTTCTCTCTCTTCTCTCTTTCGCTCTCCTCATTTTTATTCTCTCTCTCTCCGACACTCTTTTTTTTTCTCTTTCGCTCTTCTCTCTCTGTTTGTCTCATCTCCACAGTGACCCCAAGTTGGACAGGCATAGACATTCATCAGGGAACATCTCTACCGCTCTGGAGATGATGCCTGGACTGGAGGGGTTAGACCTGGAGCCCTACGGCAAGGTACTGGGGACACACTGTACTTATATCCTCCCCCCTCTCTACGGCAAGGTACTGGGGACACACTGTACTTATATCCCCCCCCCCCCCCCTCTCTACTGCAAGGTACTGGGGACACACTGTACTTATATCCCCCCCCCCCTCTCTACTGCAAGGTACTGGGGACACACTGTACTTATATCCTCCCCCCCCCCCCCCCTCTACGGCAAGGTACTGGGGACACACTGTACTTATATCCTCCCCCCTCTCTACGGCAAGGTACTGGGGACACTGTACTTATATTATAATACTAAGGCATTTGTGAAAATTCTATAGCAATATAGAGTGGGAAAGCTGCCGTGCGTCTGGACAATTAATACACACTGCAGTAAATAAAACCTAATAAAAACATCTGTCTCATCCAAGACCGGAGTCTACACAGACCAGTGCGCTATAGACAATCAGAGCTACAGTAGGCCTTTATACAAACAAGTCATTTGCCACATGGGCCTGCCAGCATTCACTTTGAACTGGACTGTGTGTTTACAGGCAGTAGCAACAGCGGGACTTTAGATCATTAGAACGCATTCGCCAAAAGCCACCAAATACACCTGAATGGATTTCTGCAAATCCTGTATATAAACACCACGGGAGTCCTCTTACATTTGGGAACTTTACAGTCCTATTGATCAAACCACCATGAAAAGGTAGGCTCTCTCTCCCACAGAGTTATGCACATCAAGAACAACAACTAATGCTAGCCAGAGCAAGATGAGCTAAAATTCTAACGAAGGAACATTAGATAAACCCTCTCAAACTTTTTCAGCTAGTTGGCCGTCAAAAGTTCATTGAAAAACTTTGGGGAATTGTAGCCTACTCGTCCTTCTGCAGCTAGCCTGCAAATGCACGCTTGTCCCAACCAAGCACCCAAGCTAACTAGCTAACATTGGCTAGCTTGCTAGCTACTTCCAGACACAAATGAGAGAACACCTCACTCTGACCATTTTTACTCTCCCTTGCAGAGCTGGTTAGGCTGTTTACATGTTATCTAGAGCTTTCTTGACTAACTATTACTTTTTTTTGCCTAGGTTTACTGACGTCGATCATATTCAGTGGGTGTTGAGCGTTTTTGTAAATTCATCAGTTATTCTGCGCTCTGGCACACTCAGACAAGAGTGCTCTGAAATCGGAGTAGATAGCCAGAGTGAATTTGCGAAAGCAAGACAACTGGATAACGGTCGTTCAAGTTCAGCATAGCTAGCTAGCTAGCAAAGCGATTCACATTTATTGCTAGCTAACCAAATGACACCTGCATCTCTAGCTGAGGCCATCGAAAAATGATATGAGGGGGAAAAGTCAATTTTGCGCCGCCCTATGGGACTCCCGGTCACGGCCGGTTGTGATACAGCCTAGAATCCAACCCAGGTTTGTAGTGACGCCTCAAGCCCTGCAATGCAGCGCCTTAGACAACTGCGCCACTCGGAAGGCCCCGGAATTTGATATTTTTGACTGATATTATGATTGTCTGTTTCGTATCTGCAAAGTAGTTAAAACGCTCAGTTCCACTTTAAATCACTGAGCACAACAGGCGCTTATTAGAGCCAGGCTTGTATTAGAGCCAGGCTTGTATTTGAGCCAGGCGTCTATCTCCTTAAAGCACACAGCTTTTACTCATTTGCATAGTTATTGTTTAATTCCAGCATTCACGTCCAGCATTTTAATCAATTTCTTCATTTTATTGCACTAATGTGTTTATCATTTACACACTTATAATTTACTCCCGAGTGGCGCAGTGGTCTAAGGCACTGCATAGCAGTGCCACTAGAGATCCTGGTTCGAATCCAGGCTCTGTCGTAGCCGGTCGCGACCGGGAGACCCATGGGGCGGCGCACAATTGGCCCAGCGTCGTCCAAGGTAGGGGAGGGAATGACCGGCAGGGATGTAGCTCTGTTGGTAGAGCATGGCGTTTGCAACGCCAGGGTTGTGGGCTCGATTCCCACAGGGGGTATGAAAAAAATAAAAAAATATATGAACATATAACTAACTGTAAGTCGCTCTGGATAAGAGTGTCTGCTAAATGACTAAAATGTAAAATGTAAAAATGTACACATACAGTGGGGAGAACAAGTATTTGATACACTGCCGATTTTGCAGGTTTTCCTACTTACAAAGCATGTAGAGGTCTGTCATTTTTATCATAGGTACACTTCAACTGTGAGAGACGAAATCTAAAACAAAAATCCAGAAAATCACATTGTATGATTTTTAAGTAATTAATTTGCATTTTATTGCATGACATAAGTATTTGATCACCTACCAACCAGTAAGAATTCCAGCTCTCACAGACCTGTTCGTTTTTCTTTTAAGAAGCCCTCCTGTTCTCCACTCATTACCTGTATTAACTGCACCTGTTTGAACTTGTTACCTGTATAAAAGACACCTGTCCACACACTCAATCAAACAGACTCCAACCTCTCCACAATGGCCAAGACCAGAGAGCTGTGTAAGGACATCAGGGATAAAATTGTAGACCTGCACAAGGCTGGGATGGGCTACAGGAGAATAGGCAAGCAGCTTGGTGAGAAGGCAACAACTGTTGGTGCAATTATTAGAAAATGGAAGAAGTTCAAGATGACGGTCAATCACCCTCGGTCTGGGGCTCCATGCAAGATCTCACCTCGTGGGGCATCAATGGTCATGAGGAAGGTGAGGGATCAGCCCAGAACTACACGGCAGGACCTGGTCAATGACCTGAAGAGAGCTGGGACCACAGTCTCAAAGAAAACCATTAGTAACACACTACGCCGTCATGGATTAAAATCCTGCAGCACACGCAAGGTCCCCCTGCTCAAGCCAGCGCATGTCCAGGCCCGTCTGAAGTTTGCCAATGACCATCTGGATGATCCAGAGGAGGAATGGGAGAAGGTCATGTGGTCTGATGAGACAAAAATAGAGCTTTTTGGTCTAAACTCCACTCGCCGTGTTTGGAGGAAGAAGAAGGATGAGTACAACCCCAAGAACACCATCCCAACGTGAAGCATGGAGGTGGAAACATCATTCTTTGGGGATGCTTTTCTGCAAAGGGGACAGGACGACTGCACCGTATTGAGGGGAGGATGAATGGGGCCATGTATCGCGAGATCTTGGCCAACAACCTCCTTCCCTCAGTAAGAGCATTGAAGATGGGTCGTGGCTGGGTCTTCCAGCATGACAACGACCCGAAACACACAGCCAGGGCAACTAAGGAGTGGCTCCGTAAGAAGCATCTCAAGGTCCTGGAGTGGCCTAGCCAGTCTCCAGACCTGAACCCAATAGAAAATATTTTGAGGGAGCTGAAAGTCTGTATTGCCTAGCAACAGCCCCAAAACCTGAAGGATCTGGAGAAGGTATGTATGGAGGAGTGGGCCAAAATCCCTGCTGCAGTGTGTGCAAACCTGGTCAAGACCTACAGGAAACGTATGATCTCTGTAATTGCAAACAGGTTTCTGTACCAAATATTAAGTTCTGCTTTTCTGATGTCCTGCAATAAAATACAAATGAATTACTTAAAAATCATACAATGTGATTTTCTGGATTTTTGTTTTAGATTACGTCTCTCACAGTTGAAGTGTACCTATGATAAAAATTACAGACCTCTACATGCTTTGTAAGTAGGAAAACCTGCAAAATCGGCAGTGTATCAAATACGTGTTCTCCCCACTGTATGTACATATGCAGGGTAGGGAGGGAAGGGCCCAGGGATGTTAGCCTCAGGTGAATTAGAGCATGGCGTTGGCAACGCCAAGGGGTTGTGGGTTCAATTCCCACGGGGGGGCCATATAAATAAATAAAATGTATTCACTAACTGTAAGTCGCTCTGGATAAGAAGCGTCTGCTAAAATGACTAAAATGTAAATGTAAAAAAAATGTACAACCGATAGGCAATATTGTTTGGACTACCAAGACATTTATTGGGTGAATTATATTTGTCATGTATTGAACTGCATCCATCACATTCTGCTAACAATGCCTTACTGTACGTCATAGATGTTGAGCAAATAGAACCTATTTTAAAACCTCTTCATAGAGTTGGTTTTGTAGCATCAACTGGGAATGTCATTTTTATTATTATCATTATTATTTTTTATAATTAAATATTTTTTACACCCTTTTTCTCCCCAATTTCGTGATATCCAATTGCGATCTTGTCTCATCGTTCGGGAGAGGCGAAGGTCGAGTCATGCGTCCCCCGAAACATGACCCGCCTAACCGCGCTCCTTAACACCTGCCAGCTTAACCCGGAAGTCAGCCCGCACTAATGTGTCGGAGGAAACACTGTTCAACTGACGACCAAAATCAGGACTCGCTAGAGCGCAATGAGCCAAGGAAAGCCCACCCCCCGGCCAAACCCTCCCCAAACCCGGACGACGCTGGGCCAATTGTGCGCCGCCCTATGGGACTCCCGGTCACGGCCGGTTGTGAAACAGCCCGGGATCGAACCCAGGTTTGTAGTGACGCCTCAAGCCCTGCGATGCAGCGCCTTAGACAACTGCGCCACTCGGAAGGCCCCGGAATTTGATATTTTTGACTGATATTATGATTGTCTGTTTCGTATCTGCAAAGTAGTTTAAAACGCTCAGTTCCACATTAAATCACTGAACACAACAGGCGCTTATTAGAGCCAGGCTTGTATTTGAGCCAGGCTTGGCTGTAGGTAGGGATATAGTGACTAGGCAACAGGACAGATAATAAACAGTAGCAGCAGTGTATGTGATGAGTCAAAAGAGTTAGTGCAAAAAGGGTCAATGCAGATAGTCCGGGTAGCTATTTGGTGAACTATTTAGTAGTCTTATGGCTTGGGGGTAGAAGCTGTTCAGGGTCCTGTTGGTTCCAGAATTGGTGCATCGGTACCGCTTGCCGTGTGGTAGCAGAGAGAACGGTCTGTGGCTTGATTCTTTGACAATTTTTAGGGCCTCTCTCTGACACCGCCTGGTATAGAGGTCGTGGATGGCAGGGAGCTGGCCCAGGGGTCTGTACTCCCGAAGTTGTTGACTGTTTTTGTGCTTGCCAGTTAGCTAGCAGTTCTCAGCTGTTAGCAGCCAGTTAGCTAGCAGTTCTCAGCTGTTAGCAGCCAGTTAGCTAGCAGTTCTCAGCTGTTAGCAGCCAGTTAGCTAGCAGTTCTCAGCTGTTAGCAGCCAGTTAGCTAGCAGTTCTCAGCTGTTAGCAGCCAGTTAGCTAGCAGTTCTCAGCTGTTAGCTGCCAGTTAGCTAGCAGTTCTCAGCTGTTAGCAGCCAGTTAGCTAGCAGTTCTCAGCTGTTAGCAGCCAGTTAGCTAGCAGTTCTCAGCTGTTAGCTGCCAGTTAGCTAGCAGTTCTCAGCTGTTAGCAGCCAATGGCTAGCAGTTTCTTACTGACGATTTAAAAACTGATGATTGCCATAATATTTTTCTAGTCATTACTGAATGATTTCATGTAACAAATCATACATTAGACCTCGTAAACAATTCATGGTAGTTTTGGGTAGGTAGGTAGTTAGTTGGTTGGTTGGTTGAGCGATGTCCTCATCTACCCCGTTCTATCTCCCTGTGACATCCCAGAAGGGATGCTTAGGTACGATGCACCTAGTAGCAGTCTTCCACCTAGCCCTAGATTATTGTCTAGGTAGGTGCATAGGCCCCCCAAAGCTAGAGTAGTCCAAACCGATAGAGACCCCCCCTTAAACTGCACCTGCAGTCCACAGCAGTGTGAATTGAACTGCACCGTTCCGTTTCCCACTGCGCTGTGGTTCGCTTCCCTGTGCTCTGTCCTGCTGTGTCGTTAGGTTCTCTAGCAGTACAAAAATAAAAGGACAGAAAATGATTATTATGAGTGTATGACTTATTTTTCTTCCTGCACTGCTCTGTAGCCAGCTGTTTCAGTTATGTTGTTTCTCTGTAGCCAGCTGTTTCAGTTCTGTAGTTTCTCTGTAGCCAGCTGTTTCAGTGCTGTAGTTTATCTGTAGCCAGCTATTTCAGTACTGTAGTTTCTCTGTAGCCAGCTGTTTCAGTGCTGTAGTTTCTCTGTAGCCAGCTGTTTCAGTGATGTAGTTTCTCTGTAACCAGCTGTTTCAGTGCTGTAGTTTCTCTGTATCCAGCTGTGCTGCTATGCTGTCCTGTCCCTCTGGCCATCAGCAGATCGACTGTAAATCCTAAACTGTGGGATTGTTCCTGCATGTATAATTGATTGATTGATTGATTAGTTAATTTATTGATTGATTGGTTGATTGATCTTCCTCCATAGACGGTGTCGTATGCCCAGTTTCTGTATCCGACCAACGCCCTGGTCCGCCAGAAGACCCCCTCGGTGGACATTACCCTCCAGGTGCCCCTCAACCAGGTGACCCGGAACAGTAACCCCAGAAACTACACCCCAACCAGGCTGAATAGCAACATGGGACTGGACCTGGGTAAGACCTGGCTCTAACCCCTGACCCCTAACCCAGAAACGCCACCTTAACTCCAACATAGGACTGGACTTTTTATTTTTTATTTAATCTCTATTTAACCAGGTTGCATCATATGGATGTAGGTTGCACCATATTGGTAAGTAATATGGTGAAAATTCCTAGTCCTTCAGAGGGAGCTATTATCATATTGTGGACTAACTGCACCTGCTGTCCACGGGGCTATGACCTCTACTGCACCATGCTGGCTTTGCTATGCCCTGTCATGCTGGCTTTACTGTGTCCTCTCATGCTGGCTTTGCTGTGCCCTGTCATGCTGGCTTTGCTGTGCCCTGTCATGCTGGCTTTGCTGTGCCCTGTCATGCTGGCTTTGCTGTGCCCTGTCATGCTGGCTTTAATGTGCCCTGTCATGCTGGCTTTAATGTGCCCTGTCATGCTGGCTTTAATGTGCCCTGTCATGGTGGCTTTAATGTGCCCTGTCATGCTGGCTTTAATGTGCCCTGTCATGCTGGCTATAATGTGCCCTGTCATGCTGGCTATAATGTGCCCTGTCATGCTGGCTATAATGTGCCCTGTCATGCTGGCTTTAATATGACCTGTCATGCTGGGTTGCCTGTCATGCTGGCTTTAATATGACCTGTCATGCTGGCTTTAATATGACCTGTCATGCTGGGTTGCCTGTCATGCTGGCTTTAATATGACCTGTCATGCTGGCTTTAATGTGACCTGTCATGCTGGGTTGCCTGTCATGCTGGGTTGTCTGTCATGCTGGGTTGCCTGTCATGCTGGGTTGCCTGTCATGCTGGGTTGTCTGTCATGCTGGGTTGTCTGTCATGCTGGGTTGCCTGTCATGCTGGGTTGCCTGTCATGCTGGGTTGCCTGTCATGCTGGGTTGCCTGTCATGCTGGGTTGCCTGTCATGCTGGGGTTGTCTGTCATGCTGGGTTGCCTGTCATGCTGGGTTGTCTGTCATGCTGGGTTGCCTGTCATGCTGGGTTGCCTGTGGTGCTGAACTGTCCTGTATAGTAGCAGCTGAAAACACACACACACACACACACACACACACACACACAAAACATGCTGTTTACTGAAACGCTGCTTCAGACACAATAATACTAATATAACGAGCACTATAGTGTGTGACCTGTTTATTTAGACGGAGGGGGAGGAGACACGGAGGGGGAGGAGACACGGAGGGGGAGGAGACACGGGAGGGGGAGGAGACACGGAGGGGGAGGAGACACTGAGGGGGAGGAGACACTGAGGGGGAGGAGACACTGAGGGGGAGGAGACAACTGAGGGGGAGGAGACACTGAGGGGGAGGAGACACGGAGGGGGAGGAGACACGGAGGGGGAGGAGACACGGAGGGGGAGGAGACACGGAGGGGGAGGAGACACGGAGGGGGTGGAGACACGGAGGGGGAGGAGACGGAGGGGGTGGAGACACGGAGGGGGTGGAGACACTGAGGGGAGGAGACGAGGAACGGGGGGAGAGAGACACAGGGGGGGGTAGAGAGGGTGAGGAGAGGAGGGGGGGAGGTAGAGACAGAGGGGAGGTAGAGACGGAGGGGGAGGTAGAGACAGAGGGGAGGAGAGGAGAGACAGAGGGGAGAGAGACAGGGGGAGGAGGAGACAGAGGGGAGAGAGAGACAGAGGGGGAGAGACAGGGGGAGAGAGACAAGGGGAGGTAGAGGACAGGGGGGAGGTAGAGAAGACAGGGGGGAGGTAGAGAGACGGGAGAGGGAGACAGAGGGGAGGTAGAGACAGAGGGGAGGAGAGACAGAGGGGAGGAGAGACAGAGGGGGAGAGAGACAGAGGGGGTAGAGAGACAGAGGGGAGGAGAGACAGAGGGGAGAGGAGAGAGGGGGACCGGACAGAGGGGAGAGAGACAGAGGGGAGACGAGACAGAGGGGGAGACGGAGACAGAGGGGAGACGAGACAGAGGGGAGACGGAGACAGAGGGGAGACGGAGACGAGGGGGAGACGGAGACAGAGGGGGAGACGGAGACAGAGGGGGAGACGGGAGACAGAGGGGGAGACGGAGACCAGAGGGGGAGACGGAGACAGAGGGGGAGACGGAGACAGAGGGGGAGACGGAGACAGAGGGGGAGACAGAGACAGAGGGGAGACAGAGACAGAGGGGGAGACAGAGACAGAGGGGAGACAGAGACAGGGGGGAGGTAGAGACAGAGGGGAGGTAGAGACAGACAGACAGAGGGGGGAGAGAGGATGGCTTTTGTTTGTGTCTCTGTGTGTTTCAGATTACCACAGATGGTCATTATCACAGCACTGTACTCTCTGTCCGGCCCTGGTCCATCGCTACGTCCCCGATTTAGAGACCCTTCATTAGCTAGACACAAAGCTGTGTGTGTGTGTGTGTGTGTGTGCTGCGCTAGCTGTTAGTTGTTCTGTGATGTCAGGGTGACAGGGACAGATCCCAGAGACAGGTGGTGGTGAATGTAGGAACTGTATCCTAAATGGTACCCTATTCCCTATGTAGTGCACTACTTTAGACCAGAGTTGGTACCCTATTCCCTATGTAGTGCACTACTTTAGACCAGGGCCCATAGGGAATAGGGTGCCATTTGGGACGTAGCCCGGGAGTGTTGCCAACGCTGATATCCAGGTTAAGTGTTCCAGAGCGCTGCTCAACTTGACAAAGTGAATTGTGGGTCAACATTAATGCCAGGCATTCAATTACAGATAGACACAGTGCAGTAGGCTTATAGAAACCAGCTAATGTAAAGACAGACAGACACAGTGCAGTAGGCTTATAGAAACCAGCTAATGTAATGACAGACAGACAGACAGACGGACACAGTGCAGTAGGCTTATAGAAACCAGCTAATGTAATGACAGACAGACAGACAGACAGACAGACAGACAGACACAGTGCAGTAGGCTTATAGAAACCAGCTAATGTAATGACAGACAGACAGACAGACAGACAGACAGACACAGTGCAGTAGGCTTATAGAAACTATGGACTTCAATTCATAGCCCACACGTAACACATTTTTAAGCAGTACATGGACTGCATCTGTCATTCTGTATGTGAATGTACTGTTTGTATAAGTCTTTATGTGAACAATAGCAACGTATGTATTATTGTCTGTGTATTAATGTATATGTATTTATGTGTATGTTTCTGTGCTCTCCAGGTGTGGATGACACATCAGACTATGACCCCAACCTTCTGAGTGACCCCCAGTGGCCCTGTGGGAAACACAAGAGAGTCCTGATCTTCGCTTCATATATGGTGAGAGAGACACACACTCCTTATTTTCTCCTCATACATGGTGAGAGAGGACACACACTCCTTATTTTCTCCTGATACATGGTGAGAGAGAGAATGAGAGATAGATGAAGGGAGGGGTGCCTTGTAAGGATCCTACGGCGAGCATGTAATCTGCCTCTACCATCAATCCTATTAGCCAACGTACAATCATTGGAAAACAAAATAGACGACCTACGATCACGGATATCCTACCAACGGGACATTCAAATCTGTAATATCTTAAGTTTCACCGAGTCGTGGCTGAACGATGACATGGATAACATACAGCTGGTGGGATATACGCTACATCGGCAGGATAGAACGGCTGACTCCGGTAAGACAAGGGGTGGCGGTCTGTGTATATTTGTAAACAACAACTGGTGCACAAAATATGTTTAGGAAGTCTCGAGATTTTGCTCACCTGAGGTAGAGTATCTCATGATAAGCTGTAGACCACACTATTTACCAAGAGAGTTTTCATCTATATTTTTCATAGCTGTCCATTTACCACCACAAACCGATGCTGGCACTAAGACCACACTCAATGAACTGTACAGTCGTGGTCAAAAGTTTTGAGAATGACACAAGTATTGGTCTTCACAAAGTTTGCTGCTTCAGTGTTTTTAGATAATTTTGTCAGATGTTACTATGGTATACTGAAGTATAATTACAAGCATTCCATAAGTGTCAAAGGCTTTTATTGACAATTACATTACGTTTATGCAAAGATTCAATATTTGCGGTGTTGACCCTTCTTTTTCAAGACCTCTGCAATCCGCCCTGGCATGCTGTCAATTAACTTCTGGGCCACATCCTGACTGATGGCAGCCCATTCTTGCATAATCAATGCTTGGAGTTTGTCAGTATTTGTGGGTTTTTGTTTGTCCACCCATCTCTTGAAGATTGACCACAAGTTCTCAATGGGATTAAGGTCTGGGGAGTTTCCTGGCCATGGACCCAAAATGTAGATGTTTTGTTCCCCGAGCCACTTAGTTATCACTTTTGCCTAATGGCAAGGTGCTCCATCATGCTGGAAAAGGCATTGTTCGTCACCAAACTGTTCTTGGATTGTTGGGAGAAGTTGCTCTCGGAGGATGTGTTGGTACCATTCTTTATTCATGGCTGTGTTCTTAGGCAAAATTGTGAGTGAGCCCACTCCCTTGGCTGAGAAGCAACCCCACACATGAATGGTCTCAGGATGCTTTACTGTTGGCATGACACAGGACTGATGGTAGCGCTCACCTTGTCTTCTCCGGACAAGCTTTTTTCCTGATGCCCCAAACAATCGGAAAGGGGATTCATCAGAGAAAATGACTTTACCCCAGTCCTCAGCAGTCCAATCCCTGTACCTTTTGCAGAATATCAGTCTGTCCCTGGTGTTTTTCCTGGAGAGAAGTGGCTTCCTCTCTACCCTTCTTGACACCAGGCCATCCTCCAAAAGTCTTCGCCTCACTGTGCGTGCAGATGCACTCACACCTGCCTGCTGCCATTCCTGAGCAAGCTCTGCACTGGTGGTGCCCCGATCCCGCAGCTGAATCAACTTTAGGAGACGGTCCTGGCGCTTGCTGGACTTTCTTGGGCGCCCTGAAGCCTTCTTCACAACAATTGAACCTGTCTCCTTGAAGTTCTTGATGATCCGATAAATGGTTGATTTAGGTGCAATCTTACTAGCAGCAATATCCTTGCCTGTGAAGCCCTTTTTGTGCAAAGCAATGATGACGGCATGTGTTTCCTTGCAGGTAACCATGATTAACAGAGGAAGAACAATGATTTCAAGCACCACCCTCCTTTTAAACTTCCATTCTGTTATTCTAACTCAGTCAGCATGACAGAGTGATCTCAAGCCTTGTCCTCGTCAACACTATCACCTGTGTTAACGAGAGAATCACTGACATGATGTCAGCTGGTCCTTTTGTGGCAAGGCTGAAATGCAGTGGAAATGTTTTTTGGGGATTAAGTTCATTTTCATGGCGAAGAGGGACTTTTGCAATTAATTGCAATTTATCTTATCACTCTTCATAACATTCTGGAGTATATGCAAATTGCCATCATAAAAACTGAGGCAGCAGACTTTGTGAGAATTAATATTTGTGTCATTCTCAAAACTTTTGACCACGACTGTATAAGGCCATAAGCAAACAAGAAAACGCTCATCCAGAGGCAGCGCTCATAGTGGCCGGGGACTTTAATGCAGGGAAACTTTTAAATCCGTTCTACCTAATTTCTACCAGCACGTTAAATGTCCAACCAGAGGAAAATAAATCTAGACCACCTTTACTCCACACTCAGAGATGCGTACAAAGCTCTCCCTCGCCCTCCATTTGGAAAATCTACCATAATTCTATCCTCCTGATTCCTGCTTATAAGCAAAAACTAAAGCAGGAAGCATCAGTGACTCGGTTAATAAGGAAGTGGTCAGATGACGCAGATGCTAAGCTACAGGACTGTTTTGCTAGCACAGACTGGAATATGTTCCGGGATTCTTCCGATGTCATTGAGGAGTACACTGGCTTCATCAATAAGTGCATCGATGACGTCGTACCCACAGTGACTGTACGTACATACCCCAACCAGAAGCCATGGATTACAGGCAACATCCGCACTAAGCTAAAGGGTAGAGCTGCCGCTTTCAAGGAGCGGGACTCTAACCTGGACGCTTATAAGAAATCCCGCTATGCCCTCCAACGAACGGTCAAACAGGCAAAGAGTCAATACAGGACTAAGATTGAATCGTACAACACCGGCTCCGACGCTCGTTGGATGTGGCAGGGCTTGCAAACTATTACAGACTACAAAGGGAAGCACAGCCGCGAGCTGCCCAGTGACACGAGCCTACCAGACGAGCTAAATAACTTCTATGCTCGCTTCGAGGCAAGCAACACTGAAGCATGCAGGTCAACATTCACAAGGCCGCAGGGCCAAACAGATTACCAGGACGCGTACTCCGAGCATGCGCTGACCAACTGGCAAGTGTCTTCACTGAAATACCAACATGTTTCAAGCAGACCACCATAGTCCCTGTCCCCAAGGACACTAAGATAACCTGCCTAAATGACTACCGACCCGTAGCACTCAAGTCTGTAGCCATGAAGTGCTTTGAAAGGCTGGTCATGGCTCACATCAACACCATTATCCCAGAAACCCTAGACCCACTCCATACCGCCCCAACAGATCCACAGATGATGCAATCTCTATTGCACTCCACACTGCCCTTTCCCACCTGGACAAAAGGAACACCTACGTGAGAATGCTGTTCATTGACTACAGCTCAGCGTTCAACACCATAGTGCCCTTAAAGCTCATCACTAAGCTAAGGACCCTGGGACTAAACACCTCCCTCTGCAACTGGATCCTGGACTTCCTGACGGGCCGCCCCCAGGTGGTAAGGGTAGGTAACAACACATCTGCCACGCTGATCCTCAACACGGGGGCCCCTCTGGGGTGCGTGTTCATTCCCCTCCTGTACTCCCTCTTCACCCATGACTGCATGGCCAGGCACGACTCCAACACCATCATTAAGTTTGCCGACGACACAACAGTGGTAGGCCTGATCACCGACAACGATGAGACAGCCTATAGGGTGGAGGTCAGAGACCTGGTCGTGTGGTGCCAGGATAACAACCTCTCCCTCAACGTGGTCAAGACTAAGGAGATGATTGTGGACTACAGAAAGAAAAAGAGGACTGAGCACGCCCCCATTCTCATCAACGGGGCTGTAGTGGAACAGGTTGAGAGCTTCAAGTTCCTTGGTGTCCACATCACCAACAAACTGTCATGGTCCAAACACACCAAGACAGTCGTGAAGACGGCACAACAAAGATTTGGCATGGGTCCTCAGATCCTCAAAAAGTTATACAGCTGCAACATCGAGAGCATCCTGACTGGTTGCATAACCGCCTGGTATGTTGGCCTCCGACTGCAAGGCGCTACAGAGGGTAGTGGGTACGGCCCAGTACATCACTGGGGCCAAGCTTCCTGCCATCCAGGACCTCTATACCAGGCGGTGTCAGAGGAAGGCCCTAGTCAAAGACTCCAGTCACCCAAGTCAAGACTGTTCTCTCTGCTACCGCACGGCAAGCGCTACCGGAGCGCCAAGTCTAGGTCCAAAAGGCTTCTTAACAGCTTCTACCCCCAAGCTATGATTAACTGTTCAGGAGTCTTATTGCTTGGCCGTAGAATCTGTTAAGAAGCCTTTTGGACCTAGACTGGTGCTCCGGCTCCGCTCCTGAACAGCTAAATGTTCCCCCCACCCCCACCCCACCCCCTCTTTTACGCTGCTGCTACTCTCTGTTTATTATCTATGCATAGTCACTTGAACTCTACCCACGTGTACATATTACTTCAATTACCTCGACTAACCGGTGCCCCCGCACATTGACTCTGTACCGGTACCCCCTGTATGTAGCCTCCCTACTGTTATTTTATTTTACTGCTGCTCTTTAATTATTTTTAATTTTAATTTGTATCTTATCTATTTTATACTTAACCAACAATGCAGTTTTAAGAAAACTAAGTGTTAAGGGCTTGTAAGTAAGCATTTCACTGTTGTATTCTGCGCATGTGGCAAACAAAATTTGATTTGATTTGATGGACCTTCTTGTCGCTGTGCCAAACCAAAAACGCTATACAGAAGTTAAATATTATATTTCTCTCTCCCTCCCCCTCTCACCCCTCCCTCCCTCTCTCTCCCCTCCCTCCCTCTCTCCCTCCTCCCTCTGTCTCCCTCCTCCCCCTCTCTCTCACCCCTCTCTCCTTCTCTCAACCCTCTCTCCTTCCTCAATCTGTCTCCCTCTCCATCCCTACCCCACTCCCTCCCTATCTCTCTCCCCCTGTAGACAACAGTGATAGAGTACGTGAAGCCGTCTGATCTGAAGAAGGACATGAACGAGACGTTTAAAGAGAAGTTTCCTCACGTCAAGCTGACTCTCAGCAAGATCAGGAGGTATACTACTGCCGTGTGTGGTCATGTTCAGTATGCTTTGTCTTACTCTTATCCTAACACCTGCCTTTCTCTCTCCCCCCCTCTCCCCCCCTCTCTCTCCCCCCCCCCCCCCCCCCCTTCTCTCCAGTCTAAAGAGGGAGATGCGTACAGTGGGTGACGACTGCGGCCTGCAGGCAGTCACTGTGGCGATGGCGTTTGTTTACTTTGAGAAGCTGGTCCTCCAGGGGCGACTCAACAAACACAACAGGAAGTTGGTCTCTGGAGCCTGTGTGCTGCTCGCCGCTAAGATCAGCAGCGACCTCAAGAAACAGGACGTCACGCAGCTCATAGACGTACGTGTTATCCCTTTAGAATGACATAAAAGCCTCTAAATGCTCTGTGAAGCATCTATGTAGTGCTTATGAAGACTTTACGTATGCTATATAAAGCCTTTTATAAGTTGACCTCAAGGAGCAAGACATCACGCAAGCTCATAGATGTATGCGTCTTTCACATTCTGCTCTTGTATGTGTATCTTTATGGAGTAATGCTTTAGTTCAAAACGCTAAGGGCTGGGCTGGGCTGGTTTCCTGGACCCATTTGAAGCATATACCTGGCCTAAAAAGCTGAGCGAGGGGGGGGGGAGGGGGCAGAGCCCAGAAGACATTCCAATTTGTCTGGGCGTCATTTTCTTGTTTTAACAGACATGATGACATCAGAGGTTTACCTGGGTCAACTTTCAGTCATCACATGCACTACATGACCAAAACTGAAACACCTGTTCATCGAACATCTCATTCCAAAGTCATGGGCATTGATATGGAGTTGGTCCCCCCCTTTTGCTGCTATAACAGCCTCCACTCTTCTGGGAAGGCTTTCCACTAGATGTTGGAACATTGCTGAGGGGACTTGCTTCCATTTAGCCACAAGAGCATTAGTGAGGTTGGGCACTGACATTGGGAGATTAGGCCTGGCTCGTAGTCGGCATTCCAATTCATCCCAAAGGTGGTTCGATGGGGTTGAGGTCAGGGCTCTGTGCAGGCCAGACAAGTTCTTCCACACTGATCGCGACAAACCATTTCTCGATGGACCTCGCTTTGTGCATGGGGGCATTGTCATGCTGAAACAGGAAAGGGCCTTCCGTAAACTGTTGCCACGAAGTTGGAAGTACAGAATTGTCTAGAATGGCATTGTATGCTGTAGCGTTAAGATTTCCCTTCATTGGAACTAAGGTGCCTAGCCCGAACCATGAAAAACAGCCCCAGACCATTATTTATCCTCCACCAGACTTTACAGTTGGCACTATGCATTGGGGCAGGTAGCGTTCTCCTGACATCCGCCAAACCCAGATTCATCCGTGGGACTGTCAGATGGTGAAGCGTGATTCATCACTCCAGAGAACGCGTTTCCACTGCTCCAGAGTCCAATGGCGACGAGCTTTACACCACTCCAGCTGACTCTTGTCATTGCGCATGGTGATCTTAGGATTGTGTGCGGCTGCTCGGCCATGGAAACCCATTTCATGAAGCTCCTGACGAACAGTTCTTGTGCTGACGTTGCTTCCAGTGGCAGTTTGGAACTCGGTAGTGAGTGTTGTAACCGAGGACAGACGATTTATTACGCGCTTCAGCACTCAGTGGTCCTGTTCTGTGAGCTTGTGTGGCCTACCACTTCGCGGCTGAGCCGTTGTTGCTCCTAGACGTTTCCACTTCACAATAACAGCACTTACAGTTGACCAGGGGCAGCTCTAGCAGGGCAGAAATTTGACAAACTGACTTGTTGGAAAGGTGATATCCTATGACGGTGCCATGTTGAAAGTCACTGAACTCTTCAGTAATTCAGCCCATTCTACAGCCAAAGTTTGTCTATGGAGATTGCATGGCTGTGTGCTCAATTTTATAAACCTGTCAGCAACAGGTGTGGCTGAATTGGACCAAATCTACTCATTTGAAGGGGTGTCCACATACTTTTGTGTATATATATTGTATATTAATTACTCATATTACGTTGCTAAGGGTCAGGTCTTTCTGGATTAAAATCCACCATCCACCTTAGTGTGTGGAAACCCTGTGGCTGATCTCTAAGGGCAAAAGTAGAGCAACACAGAACTTTTTTAACAGGTCTCTTCCTCCTCTTCCTCCTCTTCCTCCTCTTCCTCCTCTTCCATCTTCTCTTTCGCTGCAGAAACTGGAGGAGCGTTTCCGTATCAGTCGGCGAGAGTTGATCCCGTTTGAGTTCACCATCCTGGTTGCCCTGGAGATGGCTCTGTACCTGCCTGAGAGCGCCATCATGCCACACTACCGACGACTGGTGCAGCAGAACTAGCACCACGCCCCTGCCACACCCACTGCCACACCCACAGGGACAGGAGCCACGCCTTCTAGGGTCAGGAGACTGGACGCAGGGGGGGGGCGGAGTGAGGGGAGGAGCTACACCTACTAGGGTCAGGAGACTGGACATGGGGGGCGGGGTGAGGGGAGGAGGTACACCTAGTGGACATGGGAGGGAGGGAGGGAGGTTAGAAGAAAATTAAGAAATGAAGGAGTTTGAAGGGTGCAGAGATGGGAAGAAAGAGACAATGAGAGAGAGAAATGAATGGAGAGATTCTGGGCTAAAGGCGTAGTTATGTCCTGTGCTGTGACTCTCATAAAACCCTAACCACCACAGGAGGCTGCTGAGGGGAGGACGGCTCATAATAATGGCTGGAACGGAGCGAATGGAATGGCATGTATTTGTATTTGATACCGTTCCACTATTTCACTCCATCCATTACCACAAGCCCGTCCTCCCCAATTAAGGTGCTGCCAACCTCCTGTGCCAAGCACCATAAACTCTGAGGCTTACTCACCTCAGTAACAATACTGGTATTTACTCTCACCTTGAAGAAGTATAAATTAGAGAAGGCTCTGGCACCGATCAGTCTTCCTACAATTGATGATAGTATTACTATCAACCTACAGTGTATCATTTCTACAAATTCTAAACCAGAACGTGGCCATGCTTCCATGAGCCACTAGTGGATTCTAAACCAGAACGTGGCCATGCTTCCATGAGCCACTAGTGGATTCTAAACCAGAACGTGGCCATGCTTCCATGAGCCACTAGTGGATTCTAAACCAGAACGTGGCCATGCTTCCATGAGCCACTAGTGGATTCTAAACCAGAACGTGGCCATGCTTCCATGAGCCACTAGTGGATTCTAAACCAGAACGTGGCCATGCTTCCATGAGCCACTAGTGGATTCTAAACCAGAACGTGGCCATGCTTCCATGAGCCACTAGCGGGTGCTAATGTTCAGCAGTAGCATTGGTATCAAACGTGAGGTGTCACTTTGCAGGAATACCAGTTAACGCTTCATTCACACTATAGGGCCGTTCTGGCTCCGGGTGTTTTCTTTGCTCTTCAGGGTTCCAGCAGCTATGGTGGATGTGTAACCAGGCCAGCCTAGTACAACTCTGCTTGGCTCGGTTTGGCCTCCTAGTGGGAATCAGGCATTAGGGCAACAAGCAACAAGGGAAGAACCTCCTCCATCACCTTCCTGTCAGCATGTTAAAGGGAAAACAAATACAAGAAACATCACATTTAACCAAAAAGCTTTTTCTTTTAGTTATCCTAACTTTTTAAGATAACTTTTTTTGCTTTTATATTTATCATATTTTATCTATTTTCTTCTTCGAGAGAGAGAGAAAAAAAAGGGATGTTTAAAAAAAAAAAAAGGGATGTTTATATTATAACCAAACCATTTGATTATTTTTGCACCTCTTTGTAGCTTTTAACTCACAAGGGTCTTATTCCAGCATTATAACCAAGCATCCCTTAGTAAAGAGTCATCCCAAATGCTACCCTATTCCCTATAGTACTCTTTGTGTATTAAAGCGATGGTGGTGATTGTTGCTATGAAAAGAGCCTGCTCTTCCTAACCTTGAACTGAGGTACTACATCATATATAAAGACAGTAGCAGTGTATTATTAAACCACACTCTATGTTAGAGGTAACGTTGAATATATTGATCCAAGCACATTTTATGGTGCGTTGTTGTTGTTCTGATCGACTTCCTCCTCCTCCTCCTCCTCCTCCTCCTCTTCCTCCTCCTCCTCCTCCTCCGTGCATGTAACGTTTATGTATCGTTATGTGTGTCTGAACACGTGCCAGCGTACACTTGGGTTACCGTCCCAAAATGGCACCCTATTCCCTACATAGTGCACTACTTTAGACCAGAAATGAAGCACTATAGTTGGGGGATAGGGTAGCATTTGGGGCAAGCCCTTGGTAATGTGCCTGTAATGGAGGTGCTGAATCTTTAATCTTACATTCAAATGTTTAGACTTTTTCAACATGTATTTATCATTATAATTATCTTCTTCACTTACAGCAGGGTTCTTCAATTCCGGTCCTGGAGGGCCGAAACACTTCTGTTTTTTTTATTTCTACCTGGTAGTTCATTGCACTCACCTGGTGTCCCAGGTCTGAATTAGCCCCTGATTTAGAAGGAGAGGATGGAAAAACAGAGGTGTTTCGGCCCTCCAGGACCAGAATTGAAGAACCCTGACCTACAGTATGAAGGCCATTTGAGGTTATATTATTTATCATATTGCTATTTCCTTGTCTTCCATTTTCAATGTGTTTTTTTCATTTCATTCAGTGTCTTGTTATTAGTTTTCGTTCTGTGTCTATAAGTTATATAATTTTCCTTGAGAGAGTGACAACATTGCTCAATCACACTGTTCTAATCGTTGTGTTATAATGGTTATAGTGCGGTTATGAACAGTGTTACGTCACAAGGCTTTAAGGTGAAAGACGGACGTTACTTTTTCATTGTTTTCTGCTGTTTTGTTTCCCCCCTCTATTCTGTTCTGTTGTCAATCAGAAGTTAGGCCTTTGGTTAAGATACGTTTTTTTCAAGTCTATCAGAAGTTAGGCCTTGGTTAAGTTGCGTTTTTTCAAAAAGGGATGTTTTTTGCACTTTCCCAAAAAATAGATACTGTGTTGTCAGACAGTATGGTTCATTTTAACAGTAGAATAGAGTAAAGATATGTCCAGGGTGGTATAGTGTCAGTGTTACCACTATGCGTTAACACTGTGAATGTCAGTGGCGTGAACCCCGTTATCGCCATCTAGTGGACAGCATTGCAGTAACAGTACCAAGGAGATGTCCAATGAATAATGACTGAGGAAATGGGAAATGTTTAATATTTCGTTTGTTCTACATGTTGTGTTTCAATAGCTTGCTCACAAAACACGTACACAACGAATAAAGTGCCTGAGCAATATGACAACCAGAAATCCAGGCTCTGTCGTAGCCGGCCGCGACCCGGAGACCCATGGGGCGGCGCACAATTGGCCCAGCGTCGTCCAGGGTATGGGGAGGGAATGGCCGGCAGGGATGTAGCTCCGTTGGTAGAGCATGGCGTTTGCAACGCCAGGGTTGTGGGTTCGATTCCCACGGGGGGCCTGTATAAAAATAAAATAATGTATGCACTCACTAACTGTAAGTCGCTCTGGATAAGAGCGTCTACTAAATGACTAAAATGTAAATGGCACCCTATTCCCTACATAGTGCACTACTTTTGACCAGAACCCTATGAGCCCTAGTCTAAAGTAGTGCACTATATAGGGAATAGGGTGCCATATGGGATGCATGCAATATCTCTATACAGATAAAGACTGATTTTTGTTGTTGTTATTTGTTTGACCTTTATTTAAGCAGGGAGAACAATCACAAATTCTGTCAGCAAATGCTGTACATTCATTCAATCGTAACTTTCTCTTCAAAGTGGGATGTTTTTTCAGTTGTTTTTAAACACGGGATTGTCGTAGCAACCATTGTTGGTATTTTATGCATTGTGACTTTACTTTGACCAAAACTCAGAATCTCTGGCACCGGCCACAGTGCTTCCAATGCCCCAGAGACTGCATAAAGGTTCAGACTAAGACCGTGGTAATGTTCGAGATCAATTTCAGACTGACTGACTCTAGAAATCATCTTGCATCCTAAATAACTACTCCCTGTTATATATATATATATATAGATTAGCCTGTCTGTCACCATTTCTCTACAGTGCATCACAACGTTGATGTTCTCAAACACAGCCATCGGTGCACCTTCAGGTAGCACTGACTTTACTATTTATTTCAGTCACATTTAAGTCCTTCTCTAGCCTGGATGCCAGTCTGTTTCAAACATATTTGGCATCACGGTTCCATAAGGAGTTGACAAGATAGCAGAAACCCGGTGGAGTTGACAAGATAGCAGAAACCCGGTGGAGTTGCCGCAATGAGACAAGGTCGTAACTACACAATTGGATACCACGAAATTGGGGAGGAAAAATTGGGGTAAAATTTGATCAACCAATTTTTTGTTTAAATCTGGGAAACCAGGGAATTTTGGGAAAGTTAGAGTAATATTACAACCCTACATATAACTAACCCTGCTCTGTGTAGCACACCAACCAGGTGACTGAAAAAATTTATGCACGCATGACTGTAAGTCGCTTTGGATAAAAGCGTCTGCTAAATGGCTTATTATTATTATTATTATTATATTATACACCACTTACTCCTTGTACCATTTAAGTGAGGGAGGGCGTGTCCATGACTAACGCCGGTTGACATTCTTTTGAACAAAGTGCAGGACTGTTTTTATAGTAATATCCCCTAAATGTTGTCCCCCTTTTTATTGTTTGTGAATTGTTTGTTATCGCATAAAATGGGACTTTTTAAATGTATTATTGTCAGTATGACAGAAGAATAAAACCTAATATATTTTCTGACTGGACTGATGTGTTTTCTGTTTTCGAAGCTATTGGCTGGAATAAAGTTAATAGAAGTCAGCTGAGCGAGTTACCTTGAGATTGTCAGTTGTAGTCTTATGTTGCCATAACTCCAAAATCACGTCGTTGTCACACCTCCCTTGGTTCGCGACGAGGCTACGGAGACTCAAAGGGGTCCTTTTTATTAGATTTTTTGACCTAGCATTACATACCAAACTTTACAGTTGGCACTATGCATTGGGGGGGCAAGTAGCGTTGTGCTGGCATCCGCCAAACCCAGATTCGTCCGTGGGACTTCCAGATGGTGAAGCGTGATTCAAACGCGTTTCCACTGCTCCAGATAGGATACAGGGTAGGGCATCTTAGCTCCTGCTCCCACACAGAGAATGTCACAACTAAAAGAGACCATGACTAATCTCTCCTCTTTGTTGCAGCCAGAGGATTTTAGGAACCAAAACCAAGCCCGTGCTGACATCTGATGGTTGTGTGGTGATAACTGATTGTGAACTCACCTACATACGTAAACAATCAAACGTGTCAGAGACTGGTGAGTTGTCACGTAGAAAGTAGGACCTCCTCCCGGGATCCTTTGATGAAAGGATATATATTGATGGGATAGCAGTACCTCGAGGGGTTCCAGAACAATTTAAAGCTAGGAATCAGATCGCAGCTGGGTTTGAATCAAGTATTTTCTGGTGGTCAACAATTAATAAAAACGTAGATTGGATGAATTATATTTACTAT